GAAATTGTGTGTATGTTAACAATATATTGAATAATGTAACATCACATTTTTAAAAGGGAAACACTTCTCATGTTGAAACTGTCTAGGTGAGCTTCTCCTTTTAGTGTTCCTGTGCTCCTTAGTGTGATTGATAGACTGTATTAACACATGCACTGTATGTCAATGCCTATGTAACATTTCTGTTTAGGATAAGTAGAGAAGTACTTTGCACAGTTTTCTTGCAGTTTTTTTTAAGGTTTAGGGTTAGGGTACATATGTACACACATACATACACACATACATGTATGTTCCTACTTTTCCCTTTCTGGGAAGCAATGTTATATAGTGTGGAAAAGGAATAAAAAATAATAAGCAAGTTAAATTAAAGGCATATGATTAAAAAAAAAAGGAGCATAGCTAAAACTAATTTAGCGTAACACCACTATAGCTCCCCTTCCCTTTCTCTCTTTTTATTTGGGGGGGAGGTACCTTCGAGTCAGTGTTGACTCGCGGTGACTGTCTGGAGACGTTCCTGTGGTTTTCTTGGCAAGATTTTGGAAGTGGTTTGCCCTTGCCTGCTTCCTCAGGCTGAGAGAGAGCGACTGACCCAAGGTCACCCAGCTGGCTTTATGCCTAAGGTGGGACTAGAACAGATAGTCTCCCAGTTTCTAGCCTGATGTCTTAACCACTACAGCAAACTGTCTCTTTTTTCTATCCTTACCAACTTTGTTTTGCTTCCACTGTGTCCACACATCACCTCATAATTGTCTTTTGCTCTTTAAACTTCTCACCTCTGCCTTTGTGAGGATCTCATCAACTCTGTCCAACCACATTTTGTTTGGGACTTCCCCTTCCTCTCATCCAACTCACTCTTCCTTCACATATTATTTTGCAGTTTGATCCTCATTCATTCTTTATAGATGACTAAATCTCAAGTAACTTATTGTCAACTTGTCATTTACATGTATATTTAACTGACATTTATTTAGTACTCTTTCATTCTTGACTTTATGTCTTCTTGTTTTACCACAAACACTTTTTAGTGCTTCGTTCCAACCACATTCCTGATGTACAAAACTCTTACTATCATTTACCAAAATTCACAGAAAAACACTCTTATACACAAGCCTTTGTGCTCTTTCTTACATTCATTCACATAGTACCTATTTCCTTTCTATGAGCTCTTTCTAAGTCTTAAAAAAAATCCATACTTTGCCTTATCTTTAGCAAATATTCTACCAGGTACATTTTTTTTTAAAAAAAAGGATTTTATTTCTTTCCTTTATTTATTTAACAAATTTATATGGCCGCCCATCTCACAAGAAGAGACTCTAGGCAACGTACAGCAAAAAAAGTATAAAAACAATAAACATGACAAACATAGTCATATTAACAAAACAAAACAAAACAAAAATCCACACACAAGAGATTAGATCAGCAAAGGAGCCACCTCAAGATCTCACTGGTCCCCTGAGACCCCCAGGCCTGATGACATAGCCAGGTTTTGAGGGACTTCCAGAAAATAAGGAGGGATGGAGCTGACCTCACTTTAGGGGGGAGGATGTTCCATAAGGCAGGCACCATGGCACAGAAAGCCCACCTCCTCAGGCTTGCCAAGTGTAGTTCCCTCAGAGATGGGACCCACATCATGGCCCTCTTGCCGGATCTGATAGGATGAGCAGTTGTAGTCGTGGAGAGACGATCCCTCAAATAACCCGGCTCCATGCCATGATGGGCTTTAAAGGTCAAAACCAGCACCTTGAATTGGACCTGGAAGCAGACTGGCAACCAATACAGCTCACAGAGCAGAGGCGTAACTTGTGCTGTAGTAGAAACATACATAACTGCCTGTGCTGCTGCATTTTCCACCAGCTGAAGCTTCCAGATATTCTTCAAGGGCAGCCCCATGTAGAGTGCATTACAGCAATCCAATCGGGAGGTAGCTAGGGCATGAGTGAGCAGAGCCCCCTGATCCAGGAACAGGTGTAATTGGTGCACAGTGCAAAGTTGTGCAAAGCCCTCCTAACCATGACCACCACCTGCTCTTCGAGCAGGAGTTATGAGTCCAGGAGGACCCCCAGATTGTACACCGGGTCTGTCTGGGGCTGTACAACCCCATTCA